ACCTCCTCATCTACTATTGGGAGTGGACTACATCCACCCTGATTGAATTGGCCCTGTCAACACTGGTTCTCCACTTGCAAAGTAACTCCCTGCTCTCCATGTGTCAGTATATAATGCCTGCATCTGTAACTTTCACTCTATGCATCCGAAGAAGTGAGGTTTTTACTCACGAAAGCTTATGCCCAAATAAATCTGTTAGTCTTTAAGGTGCCACCAGACTCCTTGTTGTCTGGGTATTGTACTAACTCAGCAACATTTTTTCCTCTGGACTCAACACTAATTCTAAACTGAAGACTGGACTGGGGGGAAAAGAAGACACTCTGGAGCTATAACATGTCTATCTGGGGTTGTCTTGTAAGATAAGCAGAGTCAGACCTAGTCAGTATTTAAAAGGGAGACTTCTATATAAAACCCCAGGTAACACAGAAATTGGTGGTGGTGATGCCAGAGATGGCAACCTTCCCCCTGAGTACTCATCTAATGGTCCTAATTGATGATCTTTAATTAGTGGTTCCAAAGAAGGCAAAAGGTCCCTGCTAATAAAATAGGGAATAGTCCTTTCAGAACCTAAACTCATGGTTCCTGGATAAAGATCACCAGAATTAAGGATCTAATCCCATTTTATAGCCTGTGATACCATTTGTGTCCTTGTCCATTTTTAACTCAAATCTTAATTAGATGCATTCTGCTGTAAACCAGGCAGTGCTTTTATAGAACTGTGATCTAAAGTGGCTCTGAGTGTTATGGTTCAAGGTTGCCATCTGCCAGCTGAAAAGAGGGATAATTCCAGGTTCAGTTCTTTATTGCTCTTGTTAGATTTATCTGCTTTCCCATCATGGATGCCACACCAGAAAATTTTATTCTACCAGTTACAGTATCACTGCTAGTAGCAATCTTGAGGCGGGTGTCACTGCTAGTGGCAATCTTGGCATGTGTATGAGAAGGGTATTAAACCAGATTGATTTGATGCACGTTATTTAACTCACAGCAAGTAACCTGCACTAATAGCGTGCACATGGGATGGCTGTGCTTCTTTCAGTTTGCATCGTTGTGTTCACATAGTAGCAGCTTGCTGCTGAGAGAGTATCCTGTGGTCCTTTGCTTCACTGCTGTGCACTGTGCATTCTGGGATTTTTTTCACTCTGCATTCTGAGATGCGTAGCAGAAGCCAGGAGTGTTCACATTTTAAAAAATCCCATGTTTCCGCTGTCTCCGCCTCATGCTTCCTTTCTAGGCAGACTAACAGCATTTTTGAATTGCTGTCGGTCAGCATGGACCCAGTAGTGCCACACAGCACAGTGCTGGCAACCACAAATACACAGAGGCTGCTTGGGCTATATATACTTCATCTGACACACCACCAAGCAGATGACATTGTAGTAGGGTGACCAGATAGCAAGCGTGAAAAATCGGGACAGGGTTCAGGGGTAATAGGCACCTATATAATAAAAAGCTCCAATATTGGGACTGTCCCTATAAAATCGGGACATCTGGTCACCCTACAGTGTCGTAGCAGCAACTCTTTCAGCAGCAGCAGTGGAGGGACAAGGACAAGGAAGAAGAGGAGAACACCAAGCAACTGATACTAGAAGAGCAGTTCCTGGATGAACTACACAGTGTTCAGTGTTGTTCTTCTTAAAGTGATTACACATGTCCATTCCACTGTCGATGCGTGCTCGCCTAGTGCAGTTATTAGAGATTTTTCCCTCAGCAGTACCCATCAGGGCAATATGACTGTCCTCTACTGCCTCACACCACTGCATGCAGATATAAAGGCGGAGCCACCCCGTCCCCCATCAGTTCCTTCCTACCACCCATGATGTTGGAGCTGCTGTCCTTGCATTTGCAGTCCCACCCTCTTTGGTGTAGTACCTGTTCTGTTAGTTTTAGCCTCTGTGACAAAGTTCCTCCTCTGCCTTGGTGGGTCCTGCACTTATTGGCGGATTTGCTCGCCTCAGAGATTCACGGCAGCCCTCAGTTTGGCTGCTTTTACCAGTGGCTCAAACCTGCCATTCACTCAGCTAACCTCGTCACTGGCCAGCATGGGGAAAAGGAGGAGAACAGTCTCTGCTGACCCACCTAGTGGGTCAGGGGACAGGCCAGAGACCTTCCCCTCTGGTGGGACCCACAGTCCAGGTCAACTGATGGCATTTCTTCTTGTCTTTTGTTGTGAATAGGTTGAGTTCTGGAATACTCTAGTCTTGGAAGATGTCCTCAGCACACTGTTGTTGAGGGACCCCTCAGGACTTTGGGAGAATATCCTGCTGACATGTGTGGCCAGCTGGTTCTGGGAGTAAGTGAGCGGCAATGGGAGTAATGTCTTCCTTGATGCAAAAGCCCCAGAGCTTCATCATTTCCTGGCAAAGCAGATCAGCTCATGCCTCTCCTTGTTTATTCACGTTGTGGTCTCTCCTTGTTGTTATTGCTGAGGCCATCATCCTAGAGGCCCCAGCATCAAGTGCAGACTGTAGTGATGTCTTGACCACAAAGTGACTTTCTGCCAGAAAAGTCCTAAATTCCTCCCTTGCATCTTCAGGGAGTTTATCAGTCAATTTGGACATTGCATCCCAGTTTCTGAAGTCATATTTAGCTAAACAGCACCTGCTTGTTTGCTATGCACCTGTGGAGAGAGGAAGTGGAATAATTTTTTTTCCTCAGCAAATTTAAATCTCTTGGGCTCTTTTTCTTTGTTAGTTGATTTAATTCTCCCCTGACATGATCATTTATTGGTGGCAGTAAACACCAGGGATTCTGGGGCAGGGTGGGAATAAAAGCCCTCAAAGCCTTCCATTGGAATGTGATATTGTTTGTCCACGCACTGAGATGTAGGAGCTAAGGGGGCTGATGCATGCCATAATGTCTTTGCTGTCTCCAGAAGAGTTTCATTAATAGGGGGTGGCTACCCTCCAAGGGACTTCTTTTGCACCAGCTCAGCTTGTATGCCCAAAGCTACAGCCATTCTCCTTAGCAGGTTTTGCTAGGATTTAAAATCCTCTGGAAAAAGAGAGCAGGAATCTGGATTACTGAGTTGTCCGGCAAGGAGGCAACAGGTTTGCAGGAGAGAATGGATCCTCCTGTGATACAACCAGCTCCTCTGAAAATGGTTCATCCTGCAGGACTGATTGCTCAGGGGGATCAATGTTTGCATGTGCCCCCAGCCTAGGTGGCTCTGGAAACGTCTTTGTGGACCAGTCTGGCAACCTTCACCTCAAGTGGGCCAGAGATCAACACTTGGGGGTTTGGGAAGCACTCCAGGTTTATAAAAGGGCCACTAGTGAAGGAAAGTGTAAGGCATGGGTGGCCAATAGGTACCAGGCCATGACGATCTGTCTTTGCTGTATGAACAATCCCAGTCCCAGTGCTCTCCTTATGGGGTGGGTCTAGAAGACTGGCTCATCTGGTTGCACCTAGCAGAAAAAGGCCTGAGGATTTAAGATGTAAGCAGTACTTTAAAATGTCCTGAATCTTAGCCTCTGCTGGCTGTATTCCCTGACTAGTGGACCAGATCAAAAAATGCTTCCACTTAGCTAAATAAGTGGACCTAGTGGAGTCCAGACGCTCCCCAGGTTATGCAAGACCCGACTTACGCAAATTTGCACTTACGGAAAAAGTTCCATAAGCCAGAAATAGGATTTTCGAGTTGTGGAAATTTTTGCGTAACGTACGGGTATACATTTCCGACTTACGCAAAGCTTTCCAGAACGGAATGATTGCGTAAGTCACGGGGCGTCTGTACTGGAGGACTCTGAACCAGACTGCAAGGAGCCATCTGAATAATCAGTGGGCCCACTAGGCAACCTGACTTGTCTGTAGTCCATTGTGAAGAGGCCGGTATTGGTACTGATGCAGGCATGGTAGACGGCACCACTAATGTGTTCCAAGATGTAAAGATTATCATGTCAAGACTCAGTACCGGGAAGGATTTTGTAGCAGTGCCATAGTGTAAGCCGAGGGCAGTGCCCACTCTGAGAATTGGCCTGCTACTAAGGCTGTAGGTGCCAAGACAGGGCGTGGAACTGGTGTCAAGGCTGAAAATTGCACCAGTCCCCAACATGGTGCGCACTGATACTAAAGACGGTGCCAGGGTTGTCAGGAATCAGGGCCTGCCACAGAGCCAGTCTCCAGGCAACCTAGTGAACACAGCTGGCTTGTAATAGGCTGCCTGATTGGCTACACCACCAGACTGGTGGGAAGAGTGAGCAGACCAACTTTTAAGCCCAACCGCAGCAGCAGTTTGGCAATTGCTCAAAGTATTTGCCCACTGCTGTGATAACTCCTTTGTGTGGGGTCTTTATTTGGGATAGGTGTGACGCTCTGTACATTTTGAGGGAATGTTGGATCTTGTTGCTCAAGAGCATTTCCTAAGCATATGTAAGACTGATGTAAAGCAGTGTCTATGGGACAAAGATATAAAGTCTGTGGATGAGATGGCTTTTTTAGCTGAGCCTTCGAACAGAATCAGGCGTCTATTGAGGGCAGGCCACAGACAGAGGGGTTTAAAACTGGTGGGAAGGGAGGAGGATCCCATTTTGCCCCTGGGAAGAGAGAAGGGGGTTGGGAGACTAAACATTCTCTTACCCAAAAACATTCCTCTAACCCTCATCTCAAATCTCCTGTAAAAGCAGAAGAGCCCAAAAGGTGCTATCAGTGTAATTCCACTGATCACCTGAGGAATAAATGCCCTGTGCTAAGAGGAAGCAGGCAAACAATAGCTCACATTAGTTCTGCTGTCCTCAACACAGAAACCCCCCAAGCAATTGAAACCTATCATACTGGTTCTGTGACGTAGCCTCTGCAGAACCAGATATGGAGCATGTTAATCCTGTCCAAATTGATGGCAGGGAATACTTGGGGCAGAGGGATACAGGGACCCAGATCTCTCTGGTTAAGCAGAGTGTGGTCCCAAAGGCCAGTATGTTGCCTGGCCAAATGGTAGAGATTGTGGGGGTGGGCGAAAGCAGATTCCTCGTACCACTAGTTAAAATCCATGTGGTTTGGGAAGGTTTGGAAAGTGTTTTGACTGTGGGGGTAATGGAACACCTCGTATTCGACCTGCTCCTTGCTAATGATTTTTTCCATGTAACTCAGCTTAAAGTATTTGCCTGCAACAGGAGGGAGTTTTATGCTGGGACCCCTGAGGGAAAGGCTAAGGTCTCAGGAACTGCTGAGAGAATGGGAGAGAGTCACCTTGATTCTTCTGCAGCAGGGAGAAACCACATGCTTCCAGGTGGGAGGGTGGTTGAGACCAATTCCTGCACTGCAGCTGGAGGCAACACCACATCAGGAAGGGATGGGAGTGTAATGCCTGCCAGAGAAAAAACTGTCCAGGTTATTAGCTGCCAGCAGGTCGCAGCTGAACCAGAGACAAAACCGGCTCTAGGGAGCATAGAGCAATGTGTCCCAAAGGAGAGCCCAGAGAAGGGGCAGGGAATCTCAGAAACCACTGAGGTGGGTGAGGATTCCTGTGACTCTGGAACACAGGGAAGCAAGGTGCTTCCAAGTATGGGAGGGGTGTAGATTAGCTCCTTTACAGCAGAAGGCAACATGCCCACAGGTGCAGGGGCAGGAGAGGTGTTGTCGGTGATTAATGAAACTGTCCCAGTTGTTAGCTGGCAGAGCTTTGCAGCTGAACAAAAGACAGAACCCTTCCTAGGGAGCACAGAGAAATGTGTCTTTTGTTAAAGATTTAACACTCCTGTTTCCTCATCAAGGAAGCTGCTGATTCACACCTCTGAGGAGTTCTTCAGCAAAACAGTAAGGCAAAGACCTGGCATTCTTGATATTTCTAAGGTAAAAAGGAGCAGTTTTTTAATTTTTAAGAATAAAATTTCAAGCCTTCTTCCCACATCAGAAAAATGCCCCAAAAAAGGAGGGCAGGGAGAACACAAATCCTGTTTCTTTTTCCTTTTTATGACACCTTTAAAAACAAAACTCCCCCAAAATTGCACTTTAATATAGGGAAATTTCCAGTTAAGTGTCTCTTGAGCAACCTTAGCTATACACACACACACACACACACACACACACATATGTGGATCTTGCTTTAAAAGAAAAAAGTTCATGGCCACAATTCCAGCAAAGAGACAGCAGAGGACAGCAGAATGTGGGCTAATGAAACCCATTCACAATGCCAATTGCTTTGTAACCCAACTGTCTCTCTTCCCTCCCTCTCCTATTGGTCTCTCCCCACCTCGCTGAATTAGATCTGGCAGGGTTAAGAGTTTGCATTTCAGTACAACTCGCACGCCCTCGTTAGAGCGCTTGGAGGGAGAGAGAGAGAGCCATACACACATCCAGGGCCAGCTCCAGGCACCAGCTTAACAAGCAGGTGCTTGGGGCGGCTAAGGGAGAGGGGCGGCACCTGCAGCAATTCGGGGGCAGTAGGTCCCTCACTCCCTCTAGGAGCAAAGGACCTGCCGCTGAACTGCCGCCGCCGATTGCGGGTTTTTTTTTTTTTTGCTTGGGGCAGCAGAAATGCTGGAGCTGGCCCTGCACACATCAGACAAGACTAAGAACATGTGAGTGTTGCAAATCTGGCCCAGGGTGGGAGGTGGTGGCATCTTTATGGAGGAGAGGACTGAAGTGTCCAACTCCTTGGGGAAGGATGAGATGTGGATGGGGTTAAATCCATGTCCCACTATTACTCCGTTAATCCTCCTGTTAGAAGTGATGCAGAGTTTGAATCCCCCTGGCTGATCTCCTTCCAGGGAAGGGGAATGAGTGTATTTTGGAGGAGCGTAATGGCCCCACTCCCCAAGTAAACCCCAGATTGGGACCAGGCTGGGAGGGGGCCACTAACCTGCCCAGATTTCCATACCACACCCTGTGGCGAGGGAGAGGTTAATAGCTAGACCTTGCACATCCCCCCCCTTCCCTCAACAGGGGGGTCACAGGAGAGGGACCCAGGCATGGCTGGGCATCACTCCCCACCATGCTGACGACCTTTGGACCCTGAACTGCTCAGCTGGGCAAGCTCCCAAGCTGACAATAAACACAAGCTGAACCAGGTGGCCCAAAGCCAGGCGGAGGGAAACCTTCAGAGCCTATAAGGCTGGATCTCTTACTGGTCCTCCCCTGGTTCCAAGAGACCCGGGTCCATGGCTGGTGTGTAACAAAGAGCCAGTGCCCACGGGGTTTGTGCCTAGTCTCCCTTGAAATGGCTTCCTGGGAACCATATCCTTGGCTAGTGCCTGATGCCCAGCTGGTACCTGATTGGATCTTGGGTCTCTTCAATGTCTCCTATGTATCCATTGGCTCTATAACACCTGGTTGGTACCCAGGGGTCTGTTGGATTGCTCATAAGCCTCCCATGAAGTTTCCACTGGTTGCATATGGCCCAGATCTATGGCTGGTCTGTAACTCATGCTCCATGTACATTGTGTTCACAGGCTCCCCCTGCTCCTCCTGTGGGGGTCTCTCCTCTTTGGAGTGGTCAGTTCCAGCCCAACCCCAAGGAAGCTCTTTGGGGAGATCACATCCCCCAATTACCCCAAGCCATACCCCAACAACAACATCAGCTCCTGGGACATTACAGTCCCAAAGGGCTTTGTGGTGAAGCTGAACTTCTGGCAGTTCGACCTGCAGCCATCTGAGTCCTGCCTCTCTGACTACGTCAAGGTGCGTGCAGCAGAGACCTGGGGTAGTGCTGGGGAGGGGAAGCTGGTGACCTCAGGGCACAATCATTTTTCAACAGCAAGCAGGCTCTTCTTGCTATCCAACAGGCACAGAGGAGAGGGAGGGAGTTAGAGATGCATAGACCAGGTAATGGAGATACATGGAGCAGGTTGAACTTCACGAATTCTCATGATTTCCCCTCCCCCTTTCTCCTTGACAGATCACAGCAGATAAGAAAGACCTGGGCCAGTACTGTGGCGAGCTAGGCTCAGCCACAGGCAACCACCCGGGTGTCAGGGACTTTGTGTCCAAAGGGAACTGGATGAGGCTGATGTTCCACTCGGACTTCTCCAATGAAGACAACGGCACCCTTATCCCCTACAAGGGCTTCCTGGCCTATTACCAAGCTGTGGGTGAGTATGAGAGCACCACACCATGCAGGAGGGGGGCACAGGGCTGCTCCTCACCAGGAGAATGCAGAGGAGCCCTGGGACCCACCCCCAACAGACAGAGACCCCAGGACAGTAGCCAGACCCGCAGCACCGCCGCACCACCAGTACAGAGCTTTCAGTCAGGTTTAACTCTTTCTTCTCTTTGCCCAGCACCCCCTCTCCCCTCAGATCTGGATGATTGTGCCCATGGCAACGCCCTTGAAGATAGGGTGACCAGACAGCAAGTGTGAAAAATCGGGAAGGGTGTGGGGGGGTAAAGGCTAAAGCCTTGCGTGTTCCCCAACAGAAATCCGGTGCCCACAGCCTGTGCCAAGGGACCAGTTCACCCTCATCAAAGACCTGCAGCCCCTGTACCGAATTCGTGACTACTTCAACGTCAGCTGCCAGACTGGGTATGAACTGATGGAGGTGAGGCCCTTCTTCTCCCCACCCTTCTGTTCTCTTCTCCACTCCTCCTTTCTTCTCTTCTGCCAAAGTCTCCTCCTTTCCAGTCTCTTCTTCCTCTTTTCCTCCTTCCAATCTCCTCCTCGCTCCCTGCCTTTTCACAGGAACAGGTGGGGTAAGGAGATTAAGAAAGAACATTGTCATTGCTCTCCAGAATGTTTGGGAAGCAGGACTCACTCCCTGGAGGGGCCCCCCAGAGGCCCTAGCACTCTGCTCAGGGATCTGATGAAAGGCAGAAGGACTCCCCTGCCCTTCTTTCTCCTGCCCCACCCCAGAAGTGGGTGTCTCTGGGGTAGAATCAGAGCTTACCATTTTGGTGACTGCAGGTTTTTCTGGCTGGGATAAAGAGGCTGCAGAATGAGCCTGCTGAAATTGGGGTATCCAAGGCCAATACATGATGGAGGGGTAGTTGATTGGGTAAGGAGGAAAGGTTCAGGGGTCACAGCAGAGCACTGAAGTGGACATCAGGAGCAGAGCTGGGCAGCAGTGAGAAGGTAGACACCAGTCTCCCTCCCCATGATTTGGGGTTGGGGGCAGGGACCTGAGGTTACATGTGGTCCTCAGCTCTTCTCTTCTTTTTCTGCAGGGTGACCAGAAGTTGGCATCTTTCAGTGCTGTCTGCCAGGATGATGGGACTTGGCACCGACCCATGCCCCGGTGTGAAAGTGAGTCACTAATCCAACCCCCACACATAGATTATCTCCCCACCCCCCAATCGGTCCCCGACCCGAAGGGGTGAGTAGGGAGTACATCCTCCATAACCCACATAGTCCTTGGCACTTCTATTGTCAGCAAGGGGACTCATAAATGCCAGTTCTGACAGTATCTTAGGCATTGTGGTCCTTAGGCATAGGTCCTACTGGGACCTAGACTGAGTCCACCCCTCCCCAAAATCATTGCACTCAGGGTGGCCACCATGCTTTCCACTGAGGCTGGGCAACATTTTTAAAATAAGAACTTGTTTAGTACAAAAATAGCCTTTCCCTCCCCCCCCCCCCCGCCAAAAAAAAAAAACTATTGCAAAAAAACCTACTGATGTTCTCATTTTTTGTTTTTTGCAATATATTTCTGACTTTAATCAGAATTATTCTTGAAATATGTAACCCTTTTGGAT